TCTGTAGTGGTTGCCTGAAAGTCTTGTTCGTGTTTTTTGTTAGGTTTTGAGATTTAAGAGATCCATGTGTGGATTGATGACTATTTCTGGGTCTGATTGAGTTTTCCAGATATGTACTCTCTGTTTTGGATGGTTTTCATGTTCTTAGTAATCGGGCCCCCCAGATTAGGCGATTACTGAACTGGGTGAACAACTTTATGGTGTTCTTTTACATTTTCTTGCACTGTGTTTGATTTTTTAATTACTGTTTTCTTTAACTGTGCGAAAAAAGAACTCTAACAACTGGTATCAGAGCCTTCGAGCTCACTGGGGTTGCAAGTCTTTTGAACAAAAAATTGTTTGAGTCAAATTTTTTTTGGTTCAATTCTTCTTTAGGGGGTTCAAGTTTTTTTTAAACAAAAATCACTTGGGGGTTACTTGTGTTAGATCAATTCTTTAATATAAATTGAAAGATCTAATTCTTGTCGCTTTTGTGCTGTTGTTTGGAAGGAAAAAACTTGGTGAAAAGTGGTGAGTTCACCACGGATTACTCCCAGTAAAGGAGGAGTTCCAATCCTCGGGTTGAGACTAGCTTAGTGTTCTTGTTACTGTAAAGGTAGTATATGGTGAGAATGTTTTGATTTTCAAGCGTCTGTAGAGTAATTTCAATTCTTGATATTTGATATGAGATATATGCATGTGACACATGTTTGTATTGGTACTGTGATTAGAATTGCATATTTCTGTCATTATGAGAATACTGTGCTAGTTAAGTTTTTTAGAACACTTGGTACAATTACTTGATTACAAGCATAACTCACTCTGTATCAAATATTATTGCCTTTATTTCAAGTTGGTGCACACATATCTGCTTAAACTCTTAAAAATATCTCAAATCATTTTTTTCTCACTAGTTAATCTTTAATTCAAGATTACACTATGTCCATGAGTATAAGCCACCCTTTTATAGAACCTGAGATGGGTTCGAAGGTGAAATTGTCTTAGTTAGATGGAAAAGAGTATTACTCCATATGGAAGTAGAAAATGAGAGTCATTCTGATTCAACAGAGGGTCGCTAAGGCCCTTAATGATCCTGAAACTTTTTCTGCTGAACTTAAGGCAAAATCAAATAAAATTGAAGACATGAATGAAATTGTTCTTAATGCCATGTTCTTAGCTAAATCACTGCCAAATAAAATTTATCTCTTTGAAAAACTGTTTAGCTTTAGGATGGACCTGTGAAAGACTTAGAGGTAAATTTGAATGAATTTAGTATCATAGTTAAAAGCCTTGCACATAATGAGAAGAATTTGACGACAAAGATCTTCCTGCAATCCTGCTAACTCATTACTTGACTCATATAAAGACGTCAGAAGTGCAATAAAATACTCAAGGGATAAATTAACTCAAGCTATAGTTGTTGATGCTTTGAAATCTAGGGAGTTAGAAGTTAAAAAAGAAACTAAATCTAATCCTAGAGATGAAAGCATGTTTGCAGGAGGAAGACTTGAAAAGAAAGAAACTAATTTTTCCACAAAGAAGGGAAAAGGGAAATCCAAAACCAGATCAAAATCTAAAGATAAAAGCAACAAGAAGTGCTACAATTGTGGAAAATTGGGACACTTCAAAAGGAATTGCTTTGAACCAAAAAGGAAACATAGAGATCTGAATAATGGGGAGTTAAATAATAACACTATGGAAACTGAAGTTGACATTCTCTATGTTATGACTGTATCTAGTGAGGAATTTAATAAAGATTGGATATTTAGATTCAGGGTGTACCTTTCACATGTGCCCTATAAAAGACTAGCTCTTTAACTATATATATATATATATATAGAACCTAGAAAAGTGTACATGGGAGATAATAATTCACAGACTGTTATTGGAATTGGAGACATTGCCAGAAAAAATGCATGATGGCACTGTCAGACCAATCTTGAATGTAAGATATGTTCCTAATTTGAAAAGAAACCTAATAATATCCTTAGGGATTCTTGAAGACGAAGGACATACCTTCAAGTCTGACAACAAAGTAATAAAAATAATGAAAGATTCCCTAATTGTGATGAAAGGACCAAAAAGAAATGGATTGTACTATCTTGAAAGCAAAACTATTAGTATTCCTGATTCCAATCTCCTCACTGTTACTGAGAATAAAACTGAATTATGACATAAGAGAATGGGACATATTGGGAATAAATGGTTAAAATCTTTAAGTAATCAAAAGTTGCTTGGGAAAGATTTAGTTGAAACACTGAAATTTTGTGAAACCTATGTTCTTGGAAAATATCACAGGATAAGCATTGAAACAAGTTTACATGTTACCAAGAAACCCTTAGACCAAGTTCATGTTAACTTATGGGGGCCTGAAATTACCCCACTTTTGGAGGCAATAGATATTTCTTATTTAATGTTGATGACTATTCTAGAAAAGTGTGGGTCTTTCCTTTAAAGGCTAAGTCTAATACCTTTTGAAAATTCAGAATATGGTTGAAAATCAACTGGGTAAAACATTAAAAACCTTATGGACTGACAATGGTCTTGAATTTTGTAATTCTAGATTTGAAAAATTCTGCAAACAGAAAGGTATCTTGAGATATAGGACTGTCAAAAATACTCCCCAATAAAATGGGGTGATAGAAAGAATGAACACAACCTTGATAAATAAGGCCAGATGCATGCTGATTAGTTCAGGGCTTGCAAAAGGGTTCTGGGTTGAAGCAGTGTGTAAGGCTACATATTTTATTAACAGATCACCTTCTAGTTCCATTTGATTTAAAACACCCCAAGAATTATGGACCGGCAAAAAACCACATCTCTCTAATATTAGGATATTTGGGTGTGCTGCCTATACACATCAACTTGAAAGGAAATTAGACCCTTGGGCAACAAAATGTATTATGTTGGGTTACCCTGAAGGTGTAAAAGGTTACGAACTATAGGTATTAGAGTTATAGGGCATAAAGATCATTAACAGTAGAAATGTGAAGTTTAATGAATCAAAGATGTCATGCCTAAAACTCAAACCTAATACTTCTGCTGAACTAGATAACAACCTAACTAAAAATGAGTTGAAGCTAACCAGATTAAGCAATACTCAACTTGACAGTATCGGAACTAATAATCCCACACCTCAAAAGATGAAGAGGGACCTGATAAAGGTGAAGCTGGATAAATCGAACCTCAAACACAAACTAAATCTGAAAATCAGGTTGACCTTTTGGAGGATACCTCTCTTCAGGACTATCAACTTGTAAGGGATAGGGAAAGAAGGTAGGTTAAGCCCAACCCTAGATATGAATCACAAAGCCTTATAGATTTTGCCTTAATGTCTGGTGAAAGTATAGAAAAATTTGAACCTACTTTTTATGAAGAAGCAGTTAGAGGACCAAAATCTAGGAATTGGAAGAAGGCTATGGAAGAAGAAATCCAATCTCTAAATGAAAACAAGACTTGGAAACTAATTGTAAAACCTAAGAGTCATAGAATTGTCCAATGTAAATGGATTTACAAATTAAAGGAGGGGAACAGTCCTACTGATCCTTTAAGGTACAAGGTTAGACTTGTAGCCAATGAGTTTACCCAAAAAGAAAGAATAGATTACAATGTAATATTTTTACCTGTAATAAAATATATAACAATTAGGCTGATCCTAGCATTAGTGGCTCATTTTAGTTGGGAGCTTAAACAAATGGATGTTAAGACAGTATTCTTACATGGTAAATTGGATGAAGATATTTACATGGTTCAGCCTCAAGGCTTTGAGGTGAAGGGTAAAATTGACTATGTGTGTAAGTTGCAAAAATCATTGTATGGACTTAAACAAAGTCCTAGGCAATGGTATAAAATGTTTGATTCGTATGTTATCAAAATTAGTTTTAAAAGAAGTGAGTATAATGCTTGCATGTATTATAACAATGCTAAGAATGGATGTGAAGTTTACTTAATGTTATACGTTGATGATATGCTTATGACTAGTGCATGCAGGGATGAAATCTTAAGACTCAAAAATCTTTTAAAATCAGAATTTGATATGAATGATTTACGTAATGCCAAAAAGATTTTAGAAATCGTTATTAAGAGGGATAGATCTGAGAATAGTTAACACTAACCCAGCAATCTTATCTGGATAAAGTTGTAACTAAATTTGGCATAAAAGAATCTAAACTTTTAAATGTTCATTTGGCTACTCATATGAATCTATCAACTAGACATTTCCCAAAAACACGAGGAAATTAAGGCAACGGAAAACAACCCATATGCCAATACCATAGGATCTATCATGTTTTCTATGATAACAACCAAACCTAATCTTGCTTATACAATTACTTTTTTAAGCAGATTTATATCCAATATAGGGAAACCACATTAGGCAGAATTAAAGTAGTTACTAAGATACATTAATGGGACATTAAATTTGGGATTAATGACTTAGACTTTGGTGATTATTGTTATACATATAAATTACATGACAATCTTAGATGGAGGGTTCCCATATATACAGAAATGGCATCGATTATTCAATTAATTGAGCCTATATGATTAAACAACCTTATTTTGGACGCCCTATTTACTACATTTGGCCCATTTTCATTTACTACACTTTACAAAAAAGTCATGATTTTTAACCATATCGAAACTCCCTCTCTCGTTTCTTGCACCCTTTATATTTTGTCCAGCCGTTGACTTGATCGTTGGAATAAAAATAGTCGCGACTTTTTTCTCGACTGGATGCCTTTGCCTCCTAACAGTGTGTTCTAGTATGAAGATGACGTCTACATGGAAGGGTGGTGATAGGCCACTAATTAAGTAAATAACTATCAAGAACAAAATAATCCTTTACTTTGGTTCAACAAAACTCATTTTTATTCATACATTTCATAGGATCCAAGGCTTTTATCAACATTTCTATCATATTTCATCAACTTTTATCAACATCAATTAAAAAATTAATTTTTATTCAAACCAATAGGGGCTTAATTTGGCAACCATTTGACTTAGACTTAATAAAAAATAAATTTATAGTAACTTATATTTTATACGAAAAGTGACTTTATATCGTTACAAGTATATGTACATACAATATGATTTAAAATATCGTTTACAGCTCAATAAAAAGAAATATTACACAGCAAACCACCAAACATTTTATGTTGGATCTCATTCTTATTCTGCTAACTAAAATAGAAACATTAACACAACAAGCCTACATCTTCTGGAATAAACCTGAATCATTCAGTCGAAAAAGTGCCTTCTCGAGCTGATTCCATTTCTGCTCCAAGGTGCCAATGTACCCGATTGACATTCTCACTAACCCGGGCGAAATGCCTGCAAATGCCTTCTCTTCAGCATTCATTTCGCTGCTCGTGCTATTCCCAGAGCAAGACATAAGGGTCTCGTAGTACCCTAAGCTAACCGCCATGAACCCAAATTCAGTGCAATTCTGCAACAAATTCATCAAACGGTTAGCCCTTTCCTCAGTTTCCATATCCACACATAGCATTCCCCCATAGCCGTAATCTTTATTTGCCAAAGACTTCAAAACAGCATGATCCGGATGATCTTCCAGGCCCGGATATATCACCTTAATGCCTAGTTTCTTCATTCGGGTAGCATACACCAAGGCCCGATTGCCGTGCTCTTTCATCCTGAGGCTTAAGTGAGGAATCCTTTGTGAAAGTTCAAAAGCAACTTTTGGGTTCATAGTTGGACCTAATAGCATAAAGGCTCCATGGTGAAGATCCATCATGGCATTAACCAGGCTGGCTGGCCCACATACAGCACCTGTGGATATCCAGTGCAAATCTAATCTAAATTAAAATGTGATTGAGCCCATTTAATTTTGAAAAAATGTATTATGGAATAGTAAATTGATTAAGAATGTATAGTTAAAAAGAAAGAAAAGTTTTTTGTTTGCGTATAATATTATTTTAATAAAGAATGCGTAATTAAAAATGAGTACCGCAGAAAAAATAAAGAATTAAGTCATTTGTACTTGTTTGTTGACACTTTGGGTTACTCGACCCCACCACTCCTCTCACATGAGGTCGGGTCCCATGTAGGGGTCATGACGTGGGGTCCGACCCCCATGTGAGAGGAGGAGGTGGGCCCAAATAAACCAAAGTATGAACAAATAAATACAAGTAACATGACGCAAAAATAAATGTGGTAGAATATAAAATAATAGGTGACAAACAGAGACTTATTATTTCCGTATGCGAAGAAAGATAAATTAGACTATCTAATTTCCTGAAATGACCCCCTACTTCAATTTACAATAACACAAAATAAAACCCAAAAAATTAATCAGTCAAGTATAAATCTTAACTGGAGACATCGTTTCTTTCTTTCATTCGTCGTCCATATGATTATCCATATGGTGGAAATAAAATATATAGATATATTATTTTTTACCCTATCCAAAATATAAACTTTTAAACAAGACAATCCAATAGACATATATATATATATAAATTTATGAACCTTAATGTTGTTTTTGCTATTCTAGACAAAAAGATCGTTTGAAAAGGCTCTATTGTCTTGTTTAGGAGTAATCCAATCTCTAGAATGAATACACATTACAAAGGTTCATTTGGCAAGATTTTTGAGAAAATAAAAGTTACTTTTTAAGTCCCTGTTTGAATAACTTTTTGAAAGTATTTTTTCTTACTAGAGAATTTTTAAAGACAGTTGGTCTTAAATAAATTTTTTAAAATACTATTATGCAAATAATAATAATAATAAATAAATAAATAATAGAAGTTCTGCCTGATGGGCCTGGTCAAAGGGTATCCCCTCTTAATTCAAGTATGATATCATCTTGGGAAAAAAAAATCCCTATCCATATGATATTGCCTCACATACATCCACAACTTATTTGGACCCACTCGTTTAACAAATACAACCACGGTACTATTTGTTGACATGTGATCAAACTCTACTTTAGTCTGAAAATCACACGCATCCTTTATGACGTACATTTGGAACCATTTGCCCAGGGTACTGTTTTTTCAAAAAACAAACTGAAAAACTGAAAAACCGTGTAAAATGAAAGTGACACCTGATTAAAGAAACAATATAAAATTTCAAAAGTTGAAAGGTGGATTCCAAACTAGTGGGAAGAGGGTATCGAGTTCTTAACTTCTATAGGGGGGAGAAGAAGCTAAAATAATAGCTATAACCATATGTACGTATACTTCTTCTTCAACTATAATTGTCTTATTTAAAAACTTAAAACTATAAACTAGAATAATTATATCTATGCACAATTTTGATACAAAGGTGTTGACAAAACTTTATGTTAGGCCTTTTCTTTTATTTTAAATTTATGTTACAATATAAATAATTCTATAGTATATTCTGGTCTCGACATAAAGATCTAGTGTTAATTCTGTTGTCCACAGTGGATAAGACAAATGTGCACACTGCTACGTCGGCAAATCAAGCCGTCATTGACTTGTTGATAGGGAAATGCACAATAAACTTCTGTCCACCGTGAACAGAAGATCATTCATAAACTGTTTAATTATTCACATTTCTTATATGACCAATTGCTCTTTGATATTTGGAACCCTAGTCTCCATTTTGCTATATTCACTTTCTGTCTTGCTTGCATTCACAGTCTTCATATTCACATATTTGATAGGAATATTTTAATCAGGCATTGCTCACCAAATAATCCAAAATCTTATCCCAAATAACTGTTTTTTATATTTATTAAGTCGGTTCAGATAGAAGTTTCCATTAATAACAAGGTAGCAAATTATACTTATAAAGAAAGAAAAGAGCTAACCTGCAATGATGTCGGCCCCACCGCTAATATACTTGGATATGCTGTGAACTACAACGTCGGCACCCAACCTCGCCGGGGACATCACCATCGGCGTAAAAGTGTTGTCAACCACCACCACAACCCCCTTATCGTGAGCTATCCTGCACAGCTCTGGCACGTTAGCCACCGTCAGAGTGGGATTCGACATGGACTCGAAGAACAACACCTTAGTTTTCCCTTCTTTGATGGCTTCTCTAACCATTTCGTGATCCCTAATGTCCACTAACGAAGTCGTTATATTGCATGTCCTTGGTAAAAAATGTGTAAAGAGAGCGTGGGTGCCTCCGTACAGGGTACGAGAGGCGACCACGTGTCCACCAGCGCTGCAGAGTTGGAGGAGCACAGAGGAGATGGCGGACATGCCGGAAGCTGTGCAGTACGCCGCCTCGGTGCCCTCAAGGGAAGCCATGAGACGGCCGAGATTCAAAACGGTAGGGTTAAAATGGCGACTGTAAATAAAAAAGTCGTGATCGGGGCCAAGCTCTCCGGAAAACATACGGCGCATGGTTTCTGGTTCCATGACTGTGAAGGTGGCGGAGGCCTCAATTGACATGTTCACGCCGCCATGCTCGCCGAATTCGTGGCGAGCATTGGACAGAGCCGCCGCTGGGTCCTCACAGATCATCGGTTTCATCGCCTTCTTGGCTGCGATGAAATCTTCTCGATTCCATTGATCCGTGGATCCTGTTCTTTTCTTACTCAAGACATTGAAACCACTGTGATTAATCCCTGTATCTGCCATTGCTTTGAGTTTTTATTTTTGTGCAATGAAAAGGGTCTGAATTGATGGAAGATGATGAGGAGTGTGTGTATTTATAGCCAGCAAGTTTGTAAATTGGGTAAATGTTAAGTCGCCTCTTTGGTCATTGTTTAGTTAATTAATACGTCACCAAAAAAAAAAAAAAAGAGCCTTTTTTCGAGTTGACGGTTGACTTTTTAAATTATTCAAGAACAATAGGGACTGACACGTTCCCCCACATGCAAAAATTAACATGAATTCCTGTGCATTTTTGTTAATATTTTCTGAAATTCACTCTTTGGTCTTTCTTTAATTCAATAGTCCGTGTGTGTGTGTATATATATATATAGTCTGTTTGAGCCACATTATAATGAGAATGAGAAATAGAGTCGTTATGGGCCTCACACATAGAAAATTAAAAATGATGGCTTGATGTGATGGATAACGGTCATATTTTTCATTTTAACGAGGTAAAAATGTGGTTCAAACGGAAGCATATATATATATATATTTGATACCAATTTATTGGAAGGATTTGATGAATTTAAACGAATAAAAGAAAAAAAAATTATGATAGAAAGTTAAGAGAAAAAAATTCTACTATCAAAACTCGACTTCTATGATTTCAAATTTTTTATGATGATGAAATACTACAAATGAGCAATGTTTTTATATTACATTTGGTATATAAGAATTATTAATGCATAAATTTAAACATCCATTAAAATTTCAAGAAACATGAATAAAAATAAATTCATTTATAATAACTCTAAAGTCATGTAATCAAGATTCATTGAGTTTAGGTTAATATGAACATTAATTAATTTAGAATTAATAATAAAGAATTTTTACATGACAAGAATTTCATAATATTTATTACATATTGAAAAATAAAAGTAATGTATTATTGAAATAATTAATTGTAGTAGGGTTAAAATCGTCCAAAAAGATTCATACTTGATACGATATCTAATATGATTATTGATTATAGATATAGATAAATATTTTTTTTTTATACTAAACGGTTTTCCTTAGTATTAATTTAAAAATAACATTACCTCGTACATTAGTTTTTGATAAATGAAATGATACAAAAAGGAATAATTTTAGTAGATTAGAAAGAGGCAGGAACCTTTACTACCGTATTAAAATAATTTTTCACACTTCACACGTCGACGCCACCCCTCAAAACGGAGAGAGAGCAAATTCTAACTAACTAAATTTTGTCTTTTCTAAATTTTGTCTTTTTCTATGCCCGTTTGATAATCATTTTTTTTTCAAAATACATTTTTCTTTCTTTTCTTTTCAATCACATATTATTTATTAAAATAATATTATACGTAAATCAAAAACTTTTCCTTATTTTTCAACCACACATTTCACATCAATTTACTATTCTAAAATACATTTTTATATAAAAATGACTATTAAACACCCCCTAATCTGTTTTAGTATAAACAATTATTTAAATAGGATATTGAGAAGGATATTTTAGTCATTTTAGTGGTTTGATAATTTTCAAAGATTATCGGTCTTTGTTCTTCCATAAACACTATGTAAAAAAATGAAAAACAATCCTCTTAAGGTAGTTGCCCTACTGACGAATGAATCTTTCAATTATTGAATGAGAAATGACAACAAAATTAAAAAGGTTGAACCCCAACCTTAAGGGTTCCCCACCGCCCCTGTCCTGGAGTATCGTGAGGGAGGTAAATCGCAGGTTATGCTTCCAAGGGTATAGGGTGGAAGGCTGCTTGTACACTTGCACTTACCCAAAAGCCAAATCCATATTTCAGGATTCGAACCCTTGATGCGGCAGTTTCAAGTAAAGCTGGATTTCTCCACTCTCCCTTTTTACTACTTGGAGATGTGCCCTGGAGGCGAAATGACAACAGAATTAGAAGGTATGACACGTTGCCCATATGCTAAATTACATGAATCCCAATGCATTTTATTAATATTTTCTCAAATTGGACCCCTCTTTGGTCTTTCTTTAATTAACAAGTATTTTTCTTATACTAAACGGTTGTCTTTGGTATGAATTAAAAAATTACATTACCTCGAAGATTATTTTTAGATAAATGAAATGACACAGAAAGAATAATTTTACTAGTATAAAGAGTGTTTGGTGGAGATTAAAATTAGATTTTTAGTAGATTTTGATAGAAATCTTTGAAATGTGAGATTAAAAAGTTGTGGGATTCATGAAAAATATAATTAATATTGATTGTTTGACTTTGATTCAAATTAAAATCTAATTAAAATACGAGCCAAATAGGGATATAGAGAGACATAAACCTTTACTAGGTACAAAAATTACAATAGAAAGATACATAATTAGAAAAGGTCATGTTTGTGGGATGTGATGTCAAATTCAGCCTAAATGGGCTATGATGAAAGTGGGCTTGACGCAATTACCGTTGCCTGGTGTTCTCGAAAGCTCACCTACGCGACGCTTCGGTTTGAAGTTTGGGCAAAACACCTTGCTTCACGCTTAAAAGCTTCTATTTTTTTATTTATTTTTTATTTTTCAATTCTTAAACAGTTGAATTTCTTCTTTCCTCTCTTTCTTCTTCCCTAGGCACACTTTAATAGCTTTTTTTTTCCTTTTTAAAAAGTCTTTTATTCGACTTTAGCTTATTAATTTTTTTATTTTTTTTAAAAAACTTTGATTTGACTTTGATTTCAAGTTTTTGAAAGATTTGTCTGTACAAAAGTTGAAAAAATGATTTTCTAAATAGTTAAATAAGATTTAAACTATGATGCTATTTACATTATGTACTTATGATCTTGAGAGTCGTTATTTTGTTGCAAACTCAAAAAGCATGTATGAAATTCCTATAAATATATTAAATAGGACTTGTCTAGTTGGAAATTGAAGCCATGAAATATATTTTAATTTTTTCATTTTAAAAATTTGAAAATTGTATAATTGACTAATGGTAGGAATTATTAAATAAATGTATTATTTAATTATTCTAGAGGTTTGATATGTATTATTTTAATAATTAAAAAATTTAATGCATAAGCCTCACTTAAGTTCGCTTAAACTCGTAAAACTTCAAATTTCACCTTCACCCTTTATACTTTTTAGATCACTGCAATTGCATAATAATTTCAAAGTAATGAGGCCCAAAACTCAGATCAATTAAATGGACCAAATCATGTTTGAGAAGTCTGACTTTAGTTTATACTCGTCGCCTCTAGAATTGATATATTGCTATTCATTATGGATCGTTGACCTGATCTCGTGTCTGCGTAAAACCTGCAAGCATACATGATCATTGTACAAGTAATAAGATTTGTGAATTAAGAGTATCGTTCTCATGAAAAATAAGATATAATTTGTAATTCAATAGTTACTATTAAATTCGAAGTGTGGTGACATCAAAAGAGTTGTGATATTTTTTTTATATATTTTAATTCTACTATAAAAAAGGCAATAAAAAGTGATTAAATCTAATGTGAATGTTTGTATTGAAATCTTGAATTTCTCTATTGTCATTTATTTCAATTCTTAATTCGTGATCTAGTAAATCCATACATTTAAAACAATCAATAATGCACTTCATTTATTGTCATCTAGTGAATGTTTTACTTTAACAGATATTTTAGATTAGTTTGTCAATTATTAGTAATTGTAATTTTGTGTTTTGTATAGTATCATGGAAAAGTAAATAATTGTTTAGTAAATGGAAATTGCTTTGAAGGGCAAAAGGAGGAGATATGTCCAAATAATTTTATTTGACTTGATTTATAAATCTAGGTGAATTGATTTTAATTTATTAAAGTGATTTATCAATTTCAATTTTTACCCATTTTCAGATTGGACACTTTAATCAGCGAAATCAATTATTGCTAAATTGATGTTATCAAATTTTTGTCCAAAAGGAACATGAAATAAATTATGTAATGGACATATATAAATCATCGAGGGGAGTGTGCTTAAGCCCATAAGGGAGTCACCTCCAAAAGTAACTCAACCTTCGTGATTGGAGATCCCATGAATAAGGTTCAATGTAGTAGAAACAATCCGACAGCCTGACTTGTAATAGCACTATTTTATTTGTTATCATCCTTATAGTGATAGTGATAATAATAATGTGATGTTAGGAATGGTCTAATCCTAAATGAGTATCGAGATGACAATTATTGCGAGGTATGGATCACACAAACCATTAGAAGACTCACCTATGTAAGAGTTACAATGAGATTGTGGCTATAGGTTTGTGCTATTTCCTAGAAACTCTTGATAGAATCAAGATTAGAGCGTATGGCCATTAACAGCTAAACTGAGCATAAATCGATATTATGTGTGGAATAATTGAAATTTGTCCAAAGGGACCTAATTCAAGGCTTAATCCATTATGGCTCCTTCAAATAAAAATTATTATCATTAAGTGAGGTTCAAATCCAAAAGACAAATACATCAATTACATAGTATAACTTGTGAGAGATTGTTGGAACATTTTTTAAAAAATTTAAACTTTCACAACAAATATTAATTTTCAATTTTGATTTAAATATTAAGTTTTAATATAAAAGTAAATCTCATAATTTAGGTTGTAATTTAAAAATAAAAGTTTCAACCTTTCAAATTAAAACCTTTTAATTTTAATTTTAACATAAAATTAAAACAACATATTTCATAATGTAACTTATATTTTAAATGGGATAATTCTCATTATTTTGAGAGTTAAGTTTTACACTACAAAAGGGAATCGATTTTATAGTTTAATATATAACAGCTTGAAGTATTGTCTTCTCTACAATTTTATACTAAATTCATAATATTTTGGCAACTCAATGAAAGACTCGTTCACTTATCTCTCTATAGTCGTGTCCATAGAAGGAGAGACACATGAATTTTATTTTGGAGACATGTTGTGCCGAAAGAATTCGCACGAAAGAGAGGCAACACGACTTTAGAACAGTGTTCTCGACGTGACTTCTAAGACTTGCTTTCTTTCTAACTCTTCTCTAGTTATATTTTATGTTGATGTTATTATTGAATTCTTATAGTTATTA